CAATACCAACCTAAGGGGTAACACCCAGAAATTGGGGACACAACGTAGCAGAACGGACTGTAGATACAGTTTCTACTCCCTAAAAGTTGTCAAGTGCTGGAAGTCGCTACCGGCCGAGCTAGTCCAAGCAACTTCCCAGGAGTCTTTTAAGAGGCAACTTGATCTATTTATAAGGTCTAAGGATAGTATCATACTGTAATTTACCAATTTCTTTTTTCCTCTTTTATCGTTAACATACTTAGGTTCCTGCCTGGAGGTATTCGTGATCCTATGCTACTAGACACGGAAGCCTGTTAAGAGAAAGCTTATACTATTACGTCCACAACCATTTGAACCATTTAATATCAACTTTTACTCCTGAACATACTGTTTCGTCACACAGTAGGTTAGTTCCTATTCCGTGTAGAGCAATATTGTGAAATTATATTGTAACCTGTATTTATTGTCCCTGCTTGACAGAAGTTAACCAGAATATCATAAGTTGATGTCCATTTGGTTAATAATGTAACATCTATGTTGGGGATTAGAGAGAATTCATTGCTTTTCTATTGACTTTTAATTATTTTTTAGGATAAGGTCATGTATTTCTTTGTCTAATGAAGGTATCAATAAACCGCTGTGGAGTTATTCTAGGCAGTAACAACTTGAGTGGAATGCAAACGAGAATTATGTACTAAAGAGCAGATTTATTACATGTATATTCTCAAGGGAATATATCGTTCAGAGAACGCTGACTTTTAGTGATATGAATGTGACTGCTTTCTCCGGGTATGCACTTTGAGCTTCTCTCATATGGCAACACACAAACCTGTCGTAAACATCTATACCAGTTAGCAATACCAGTCTACATTTTAATTTCACTGAAAACATGAAGATAACTGACTAGGGATTGCCAATTACTTTATTAGGACATTGGCAATACAAAAAAAGACATTCGATCACATTCCATCGCGATATATCTCCACATCATTCAGCTTCAGTGATAGTTGTTTTAGAATCTGTATAGTTAAAGTAAATATATAAATCTTATTAGTAACAATAATTACCTGTCAAAGTATGTTTTCCTAGAGTTCACAGCTGTACAGTATTGTTACCAGTATAGATCATAGAATACATAGTGATTTGTGATCAAATTTAATGGACGCCAAACGTGAATTAGAGGAAACGTATGTGTTCTGAGTTGCTCAGGAAGTGAATTGACTCGAATTTAAATCCTCTGGCCTATAGACAATGGACTAGGGTGACTGGCGGCCCATGATTCAGTATATTCGTAACTTGTCAAGTCCTCTAGTAAATGAACAACCTTTAACATGAGAGTGCATTAAAACCTTCGTGGTAGAAGCAAAACATACTTTTAACACTCGACTCTTGGTTCCTAATATAGACGACCTCAATAATCTTGAAGCAACAACCTTGATCGAGCTGTTTTATTAGCAGAGAACGTAATGAGATTTATCAATACTCCATCGATGGCTCACATTTTATAAGATGAAAACAACATAGTTCGAGGATTCTGTAACCAGTTATAAAGAACATGCTTCCCTGTTACGATGCAGACAAGTAGATTCAATTAGAGTAAAGCACGAGAGAATGTGACTTATTGGTGATGTTTTCTTATCTCCTCAATGGAAATAAATGGCCCTTAGTCCAGTTCAGAGTGGTAACTTATGATGATGAACTAGCAAGACAAGTACGGTTAAGGAGAGGAAAGAGATTTTTACAAATAAACATTAGGAGACTGGATCTTCGGCTAGTAGTAGGTGGTGGGTGATTACTCAGATCCCTAGGCGTACTGTCGTAATTCCTGAGTGTTTTTGTTTCTTAAATGTCTGCTTTTGACTGCTCGTTAAGCTTATTTTTACTCAATTTTGAAAAGACCAACGTTCTTTAGTTGCGAGTGTTATAGAAGAAGCTGAAATTATTCAGTTAATTAACAACTGTCATATTGAATATGATTAGTTTCACTTTTCTGATTGTATTTGTTCAAACTTAGGACTTCTGTGTTCATGAGTTTGACCCTAAACACTTTCGATTTCACACCGTTTTGGTTTGGTATTTTTGAAATTTCTCTCTAGAGATACAAAATTTGAGGACTCTTAGTGAAGTTTGTTAAAATTAGTACCAGAACGTTTTGTCTGTAATGGCAAGACAGCATATTTGCAAGAAAGTTTGTTGCTTTCTGTGATATAGTTGTTTGATGACTTTCAAAACAACAAACCTCTGAACAAAAATTAAATTCCACTTGATATTCGTAAAAAAACACCACTCTGATAGCGCCACCATTCTATCATTTGGTGCTGTATATATCAGAGTTTGAACGTGCATATTAACTCCACTGCTTGTTTCTGATGATAATAGTAAACATCTTAACAACACAAAATCCAAAGTGACACCTAGCCATGCGTAGATAAAAAGGAAAATACAAAATATGTTGTCAGGAGTCTTATAGAATACCCAAAAATGATTATAGTTCTCCATAAATCAAAGAATGAAAAAGGGCAATATTATGGTACTTTATGAAGATCATATTACGACTTCGCCGGTTGTAACCGACCAAAATGAAGCTCAGGTACTCACGGCTAAATTTATTGGTTCGTCAGGTACTGCTGAACCTTTCCATCCACACTTTGAATATCGTGGTCATCAAAGAACTCGACATCTTTTATCTGCCAGGTAAACGCGATGTAAGAAAACCTATGGGACCCGATAAAATGTATCTTAGACTACCAGAGGAACTCTCTCCCTTCAATGCAACTTTCTCGAGTTACAGATATACTAGAACATAGAGTAAGAGTAGACTACATAACCGTTTACCAACCCACAATCAGTTCAGTCTTTATGCAGGTATGAGGGATAAATCTTGGAACAAATGTCCTGTGAGATTAACTAGCGTGAATATCTGGACTCCGGGAAATATTATTCGCAAAACGTTATTCAGGTGTCTAGATAAAGTTCCAATTTTCTTTAATAAGCAACACAGTTTTAAGTTTGACATCAGTTTTTTATGAACTTGTTAATAGCGCATAATGTTGACGAACTCTGCAAGACCGATGACTATCTACAGACAAACCGTTTACCGACTCTAGTAAGGTCATTGTCAGAGTTGTGGTTATGGGTAGTTCAGTTATGTGAATAAACCTTTTCCCAATTGGGCACCAACAGATAGAACGAGTTATCTCCGAGTTGATCAGCTTGGTAGGGTATCTCAAAACACAGCTTAGAGACTGGTAATGTCCCCTTTGTGTGTGAATGACTTGTACATAAATCGCAAAAACGAATAGCTGTCTAAGCAGTCCACATTGATAATGACCTCATTAACTTTGATCATGCATTCCCACCAGATCACGGTTTGGTACACCACGTTGTTCACTGCCAATGACAACCAGTCAGCTTAGATTCCATAATCTTCAACATATTGAACCTTGAACAAGATGTACTGTCGAATGTCGTCATTCTCACCTTCTGATTTACATGTTTTTGTGATAATTACTTAAAAAGAAGTTTTAGTCAGTGAAGTTGGTACGTTCTGACGATCTGCAACACTTTCTGAACTTTCCAGTTTGCGATTATCGTTTGTCTTTTTTTATGGTGATAATATAAAGATATGGGAGAATATAAATAGTAACGGACGTAATTTAAAGTCAAAAAAATTGTCTACGAGGATTATGTGAGCGGTACACTGTTTGACAGACTCCTAATAATATCTTCAAATGGATTGTAATGAGCGTTGGTCACCAAGTTACAGATACATACGTGTTAAATAATGTTGAACTAACAGTTGTCCAGGAACACAATGGTCAATGAGTCTTGATCGAGATTTGAAAACCACTTCAAAATGCTGCGCGATATCCGAAAAAATCCTTTTGAACATTGTGTTCAAGACGTGGAGCTTACAGTGACGTGAATGTTATATATTTTTTTAGGTTTATAGGCAGTGATTGTTTGACCCAGAATTCTGTATTACATACAAGCAGCCAACCCACTGACTAGAAACTCTGCGAACCACTAGAAAACTGTGATGTTTGTATGAAACAATGATTCGTTGGTATTCAGTGTTTGTCTGGTTTTGAATTCCAAATACAATACGTTCGTTCGTGCTCATTTAGTTCTTCCTGACTGAAATTAAGTTATTTCGAGAATTCCTAGTTAGCATAATAATTCAAATACTTCTAATTGTCACAAAAACGCTCAAAAACGGCAAACAGATCGGTTACCGGACTCAAAAAGCTCCCATATAATAAATTGTTTGATAAATTGAACCTACACTCCATGCTATGTAGAAAGGCTAGAGGTGATATAGTATAATACTAACTTAGCAAGTGGCATCCTCAACTCTATCATCTTCGAAAAGGGGGAATTTATGTGATGGTCTTAAAGAATTCACGAATCAAGTAGCAATCACTTGTCAACCAATCACCCTGACTTCTAACGTTTTATCGAATCGTCGACCAAAGATATTATTAATGATCCCAGTAAAAAAACTTATTCAAGATGCAGCAATACGCAAAGCTAATGATAATGTACCAAAATTAATATTAACTCTATGAACTGAAGTGACTGTCTATGAATGAAAAATCGGAAATCAAAAAACGTTATATCATAAATAACTAACACGATAACAACTGTTATATAATGAATGTTAATTGAAAGCACCCTCTGAGGTAACCACTGTTAGCGGAGTTCATTCGATTAACAAATGTCTCACCTCCACTTGATTAATAACCGTTTACAATTGACGTAGATAAATAGTAGATATTGGATGAGTGTGGTTACACATGAAGTGTCACAAATAAAGAGAAAATATGGTGTTGATTTTCGTTGTTAAGATGACTGTTAAACAAACATGTCATTATATACCTTTTACCTTGATATGTACTCAAAGCCTCACATACTGACACATTTGTAAGGTGAAATACAATCAAATAATAGACGACCGGCCACCCGATTCATTTTTTCCATAAACTGAAATTGACAATGTGATATTAAAATATTACTTGTGCGTAATTTGTATCATTCGCTACTATGGGAGGCAGTGGTGATCATGGTCATGATGGCCATGATGATATTACTAGGGAAGAGCTCTTCAAAGAGTTCAAACCAAGCATTAAATACCGATTTACTAGTATCGTTGCGTCAATAATTGACAAACCTGTCTCTCTTTTTCACGGTAAAAACTAAATTACTGACGATATTTCTGTAGAAAAAGTTGTTAACAGAGTTCGCACTCCATACCCATATTATCATAAGCGGTATGACCGTGTTCCAACGATTGACCAGTGTTTAACTAATGACTTGGCTTGCATCGAGGAGGCTAATCAGCAATTTCATAGAGACCGGTAAGCCTGTATCCTGAGTAATTTTGTCCGATTGGATTTCGAATATTTCTGTTTCTTGTATTAACTCAGTAGACAAGTATGTGTTTATTGGTTAACTTGTTTGCCGAAAGTTGGGGTCTAGTCTGTAGTTTTTGTCTGAACTTCAATGAGACAGGTTCATTATATTCTGCTCACAGTAGGTTTTTGCAATCGGTATATAAATCAGGAACTACTTCAGTATAATGAAAATATGCTAATAGGAAGACACATTTTCACTATTGTTCACCATAGGTCAGATTATCATATGATCTATCTCGACTGACACACGAAGACAAACGTAATTGATTCAGATGGTAAGCGAAAACGGTTAAATATCACGGCTGTCACGCCTGGTTAACCATTATGATAAGTGGAAAGTTTCAAAAGTGTACTCGTTGCACCATTATGGGGGGAATATATATCACAGTTTGTGTTTTATAGCAAATTGTCCCATATAGTCAAATATCTCTTATTATTTAGTAGACGATCTATTTTTTATTTAAATTCAATTAACAAAGTCAACCTCAGTATTGAGCAAACCAAACTGCTTGTACCTTTCGTTGACAGCCCAAGTGTTTACCTTCGTATGTAAAAATTTTTGTGAGTTCGATAGCCATATCAATTAAGATAAATTTTCAACAATTTTCAAATTTTTTAGATAGATTCGATTTCTCTCAACAGTGTGTTTAAGTACTCAATGTTTCACACTGAAAACTCGTAGTCAAAGCTCAAAGTTCGGTCCTATTAACAGGGTTGGGGATGTGCATCGCCCTGGTGTTCCATGTAGTTTTGGATCATGACGAAGCCATTTCTAGGTGTATTTTCCGTACGTTTTTCTTTGGTTTCAGACCTTTTATCGACGTTCATTTTATTACATTTATAAGGAACATTCTAAATGTTTGTTTAGGTTGGTGGATCTCAATGTAGTTCGTATTCTGCGAAAACGCAAAAATGAATGTATGCGTTGGTACAATTATGAAAAAGAAGATGTTTATCAGTTCTGTGGTCCTATGTTCACTGAATATGAAGATGCAGCCGTCAACTACTACATTAAATGTATGTTTTCGTGTGTATATGATCCCTTACTATTAGATTGCTCGTAGAAACAAACATGGGTTTAAATAATTTAAAATTGAGTGCTCACTCCAGTTAAGCACAGTTCGTACTTTAATTTACGACTGTTGCTAAGTGTATGACCAGTTTGTGTTGATTTTCATTCACTTAAGAATTGTAAGTCGGTATAGCGAGTTAGTAAATTCAGTCCTTTACTCAATTATTGTTTACAGTGCAGTCATTCCAAATCACTAATTAATCGGTACTGTATTCATTATTTTAACAATTGAATTGTCATATAGTCTACAACACTTGTCTTCCTAAATTGCAAACAACCGGTCGATAATCGTAGATGTTGCGTGATATGACTTAACATCAGTCCTAGTGATGCAGACGCACTTTTTTACACTTATCTAGAATATAAGTTTTAGTGTTATTTCATTGTTTATATTCCATTCGATACTCGATCTATACTAAGGACTAAACGCAACCGAAATTACCGTGTGTAACCAGCTACGTTTTACAGTCTACGAACATCTTTATTATATATAATCCCTAGGACAGTGATAACTGGCGTCCTACTATTGGTAATCTACGAATTAGTGCAGACACCAACCCTGTCCGTTACCCCTCGCCACACATCCACGACTTGAAAAGTATGACCATCTTTTTAAAAATACACCTGATTAAAGAATATAACTAAATCCACATTTCTTCGGCCGATATTTTGAAGACTAGTCATCACTCCCTTCGGACTATGAATTTTTGTGTATGCTTTTCAGTTTATGGTAACTCCTACCAATGTACATATGTGCTAGGTTCTATATTTTAAATGACTGACCAGGTTTAAGAAATGCTGCCTAGACTTTTCAGAGATTCGTCGATGACATACTTTTCAATATAATGAAGGGGACTAAATGCATAAGTTATTCAGAGGTCTTGACTTCGTGCATGCATACCTTGATTACTGTCTTATCGCAATCCCAGACAATCTCTGTAACGACCAGACTTTAAATATTTTGTCTGAACGGAACGAACTGAGTTTTTTTCGATTATATTTATTTACGCCCTTCTGTTTAGTTTACGAAGCTTCTTTGAGTCTCTCAATCAAAGATTTTATCAAAACACATTTTGTACGTAATTTAATAACTGTCAGTCTTTTCATCACAATACATTTACTCATTCCTTTTATAAGATGGAGAATTACACTGGTCAGCAAGTGTTGTTGATGCTTTTATGAAACAGAAACATCGTTTACTATGGGAAAAACGTTACGGCCCAGTTGGTAAAACCTCTGATGAGAAAAAGAAACTAGCCGCAGCTGGTGATAAAGCAACTAAAGAGGGAAATTTCATTTCAAAAATACGAGAAATTGGGCTTAGTAGAGATATACCGAAAGAAATTCATCTGTAGTTTACTGGTAAGCAACCCAATATATATATATATATATATATATATATATATATATATATATATATATATATATATATATATATATATATATATATATATGAACACAACCTTTAATATCATTGTTAATGTAATAAAAATATTGAACTACTATTCGATAGTAGTGATAAAGTTGGTTTTTGCCAAGAAATTCAATTGGAGAACCATTAAAAACTGGGGTCACCAGACAGTTGTAAATGGATGTCTACAACCCTACCGGAGACTGAGTCCAGGACCTTCCGTTTTTGTGGTAATCCCGTAACTCATTAGACTTCTAGGTTTGAATTTAGTGGACCACATTCCCGAATTCAACCGATCCCTGACATAATTATGACCCTTTTAACATGTCCACAACATAAAAGTGTATTCTTTGTTATCCACACAATGCTGATTTAAATCGAGAAAATCTTTTAAGGATCGAATTACTTTTCGATGCACCTCTACTTTTGTTATATGAAGCATACGTTGGTGTTATACATACTCCCAAGCTGTAGTTCTCACTGATAAATCAATGTTTTCCTGTTGTGTTTTAAAGCACTTGTGACTGGACAGCCGACTTTCGACTGTAGCGTTTTAAATTCAAATCTCGCATTATTTTCAGTTTGTATAAGCAGATGGTATTGTTGCTGGTACTCATAAAAATACAGGTTATTCAAATCTAGGTACACAAACCTGTTTGTTTCAGTTATGTGTTAACAGTTGTCTTTCTCGGCATTTGGAATTCGTATCTTAAGTGTAAAAAATAAAAGATGTAGTAGGACCTCTCAGTGTATAATCTTGTAAAATATCCATCTCTATGCCTCTTTCACTTGGAGGGTCAGGGGATTTGTGTTTAGGGCATTCGACTCTCAGCCACCAAGTCCCTGATCCGAATACTATTCTGTCTGCTTCAGTTTAGATAACCGGAAATATCAATTTATTCCTCACACTCAGAGTGTAGCTGGAACTTAATCACTGGACAGATGAGTTAACTTATTATTACCGTCGTCTTTTTATTTTTCTAAAAAAAATCTAGGTAGCTCCAAGTGTTTATTATTACCGAACTTCAAAGATGGACATGATACAATTCTCGTATGATTATAGCCTACTGGAATACTTCTTCCTGCTTATTATCGTGCTTGCCGAATAGGTTGTTTTTCCTTTTTAAAAGGATAGTCTTCAGATTCTTCATTGAACCTGCTGACTTTCTAACAATGTTGTTTAATATTACATATGCATAGTCTTCTTCATTACGTAATCTAACTGCACACCTAATCAATCGTGTATCTTTTTTGTCCCTAACAAAGAACATTCTTAGGTTTAAAAATTTCAATTTGTGACAAATAATAGTGACAGTATAAAAAGTGTTGATTTTTCGGTTTGTCTGGTCATCTTCAGTAGCTGATCCAATTATCATTTAGTCAAATTATTGAATCAATTTTAAAATCAAATTAATTTGTAATATAGGATGTATAGAGGCAGTTGTCAAGACTAAAGATTCCTGAGATTTGTCGAAAAATTGTTGATTTCACGGCACAACAAGTAAATGTGTATGTTGTTAAATAAGCTGAACAGGACGATTCGGGTATGAAGAAGTATTGCTTAAAACGTTATTGTGGGAACTGACTGGTTAATTTGTAAGGTTAAGATTTTTTACTTTGGTAGAAGTATTCCGAAGAACTACAACGCCAAAATGCGGTGTATAAAGATCGTTTTATGAACCAGTTTTGGCTTTTAATGGTCAGTCAAAAAATTGAAGTTGCTTTTGGACAACGTCTAGACCAATATTATTTTAATAAATTGAAAAATCCATAATGATTTGGAAAGGGATTTGTGGTGGCACAATGCCTTCAATAAGTAGAATACCTGTTAAGCATAATAATTTGTAGTTTGAATATTTCATTTGAAAGAGAAAACATCTTACCTAGAGGCGAGCTTTGTAAATAACTCAATCGTTTATAAACAGTTTTATTGAGTAAAGTTGTTTTTCTGTGCGTGACGAACAGTCTCTCTAGGTTGAGTTCATGTCATGTCATTTTAATAAGGCTATTTATGTACTGCGTAAACAACGTTCTGAGATATTTGACTACATAAAAAGTGAAATGTCCATCAAAATGACGATCCAAGTTATGTTATATATTATAACGTGCTTCGTAAGATCATTTAGCGATCATTGTATAATTAGCAAGAAGTTCGGTGAATTATTTAGTTCCATCTGGTTAGAATAGTCAAATAGTATAGGGATTGTATATTAGAAATAGACCGATTTAGGTTGATGACCACGAAGAATTGTTAAATATAGGCTAGATAAGATGCTTTGTTCCTTATTTTAAGTACGTATCCCATTAAAGCATTAACAAAAAAGCATGCTTATGTTACTGATTCACATGTAAGCTATCGTTGGAAAACCCGAGCGACATTCTTCCTTAACTTTACGGCTCATGTGCGAAACAAATAAGATTTTTGTCAACCAGTAAATCGAGAATGTTTTATAAGTCGAGATGTATGGGAGTCTATACTACGTAAAACAATTAAGTAGTCTGAAATCTTACATAAGAACTTAGTAGTCAAAAGTTTGAGATTCTGACCTTTGTGTGGATACAAATCCCATCAAGAACCAGTCTTAAGTGTTGACACTTTTGTTTTTGATAAGTAACGAGCCACCACTGAATGAACACTTTCCCTTTTTTTTCATAGTGCTCTAAGTGTTTAGATACCATAGCTTGGTGGGATAATCGAAATGTTCTTGTCCTGTTTTATACGTTCTATTTGTAAACTTGGTTTATGCTCTAATTAGATTACGTTCCTTTTCAGAAAATGTTTAGTCTCAGGATTATTTACCTATCGATTAATCACATTCAACCATTGTAGTTTAATTCATTCTAGATAAGCTAAGCTGTTACACAACATATCCGTTTCTTTAAATGAACGTGCGTGTCTGATTAGTACCACAAACAACAACATACAATCATTTAGACTGAATGATAATCTCTAGAATAACGATCTATCCATTTTCTCCTAAAATTTGAAAATACCATTTGAAAATAAAAGATCACATGTTTTTATAAACAAATTTATTTTAAAAATAGCTACAACTTTTAAGATCTCATCCATAAAATTGAACTGTTGTATTCTATCATCATGTATGTTACAAGTCGTCTCTTTGTAATCTAAATTAAAAAAGAATGGATAGTTCAGATAAATAGCATAGGCAAGAAACATTCAAACAAAAACGAAGTAAAACAGCCAGATTGCATATCTTGGATTTCAGAATGTGATGCCATAGAAAAACATCGATCTGGATAAGCTTAGCCTAAATATCAGATCTACTTTGAATTGATATGTATTCAGTATGTTATGTCATAATTATGTATGTTAAAGTGACTTTTTGCAACAAATAAATTGTATATTTTTGCGTGGTTGTGCATCGCCAAATGGAACTGGTCTATTTTAAGGAAGTATGTTTTACTAGGATTACAATAACTAGGGTAGCATTGTTTCTTCGTTTGACACTGGTAAACATAACTGCTCGACTATGTCCAGCATCTGTTCTTCTGCGTAAAATAACCTAATGTGCATCATGTGCGGATTGAACGCTACCTCAGCAAATAAGCCATCTAGCTCAGAGAATATAACACTCGAAAGTGAGTAGTTCGTTTATTGAATCTAGACAGAAAAAGCTGGTTATGAAAGAGATATCTCACCCTACCCACTTGATAGCTGATTAAATAGTCAATATTGGACGTGTCCAGGAGAACAAATACCCTTAAATAGTGTAAATTGATAGACAGCACGATTATTGTTTAAAGTCAAGAACTTGTTGTTGTAAGCTCCAAACAAAACAATATTTTTTCAGTTCGCATTGTCGTAATTTCACTGTCCAAAGGGTCAACGTAAATAGTAGCCCACAGTGTTACCAACGACGTTTATTGATCGCAAAGAAATCATTAATAATCATAAGAAAGAAATTACGATCTTGATAAACAGACAGTGAACGACTTATAGGGCTTGTAACCCCAAATTCTGTGATTAAGGAGTTTGAATTTCAACTAGTGAGTCGGAGATCCGAACCCTGCTCTACCTACCTCCATTTGAGAAGCCAGGTAGTATCAGTAGCCCTTACACTTAGAGTGTGAATGAGAGCCAAGTACACGAATCCCCACTTGGTAAATGAGTTAAGTAGACCTACGATTTCATTTAAATTCGAGTCAACAATCTTATTAACTGAATCCAACACTCAAACTTATCTGATTTACACTAACAACTGAAATACAAAAAGGTAGTCATGTAAAAGGTAACCGCTTAACATATGATCTGCATAAGATGTAAGCTTTATCCTTGCTGAAAGCTTAGCAGTTTGAAAATTGACCGCATACGAGTTAACGTGATTAACTGGGTTGGTAGATACGGAGGATCCACCCAGGGGAGCTGGAAAACCCTGATTCCAAATCAATCGTGCACATGGGCTCCAGGATCCGGAGGGAACAAATGGCATATAAACTTATTGTTGGTCACTGGATGCCATGGGACTGAATATCTTAACGTTGTCCCACTACCTTGTAGATTAGACTTCTAAATTAAAGGTTCGGGAAGTGACTCCCTAAGAAAACCACCTGCTTCGGTTCGGGCGCCCTGGCAGTATTCCAGCTCTCAAACAAACCGAATGACGAGGTGTGGCGCATATATACTTGATACCTCCTTGTACTAATATTTGTGTTTAAATAATAATAGTAAGTTATTATAGACTGTATTTTTTACAACATCTACTAATTAAACGAAAATCCAGCTTTTTGTATAAGAACAAATTATTGCAGCTTATAACTCGATAGAATGCAAGAGATTTGTGTATTCAGAGTTAAGTTGGACATTTTATTGTGAAAGGATTGGTAATAACAATATCAATGATCGGAGGTTTAAACTAAAGCTGGTTTGGGCAGGGATTCAAACTGGTAAAAGATTTGTTGGGAAGCCAGTTAGTTAAACGACTATGCTACTATTCCTCATTTGTGGAAAACGACGCAACCTTATCACTATAACTTGTAATTATGAATCTAACAAAACGGGCATAATTAAACATAAAAATAAAAAAACTAAAGACGACATATCAACTATTTTTCTTGGTTACAATGCGTACAATAAAGCATGGGTCGAACCTCCAAAAACGCGCATGCACACACATATACATTTTCATGATGAACTTGGAAGCGATGAAGAGAATGCGGAAAAAGGTAAATAAAACACATCATTAATGCGACAGGTTAAAATAAATAATTTATGTCATTATAAAATGTCAAAATGAGGTAAATGTATATATAAATAAGTCATTTTATGTCTCTATGATGGGTTTTTTTCAGTAAAAAAATATTTAATCAATTACTAGATGATGATTAGTAGTAGTAATAACTAGCCATTATACAAAAAAGTAAGATGAAGGGGGGGGAGGCGGTAACCCCGAAAGAACATGAAAATAATATAAATCGAAGTGATAATAATATAATCATTTCTATGAATAAAAACATGATTTAAATGCAGACCGAAATCATGGTGAGGTATGATAACTATTATAGAAGCACATGGAGTAAGAACGATTTGCTAGTTTAGTTTCTCACACCTCCCCCCTAGAAAAAGTAGAATAGGTTTTCACATTTTAACACAGAAACAACAAATAATGTTCAGTGTTGAAGCTGTCAATTACTAATTAGTGCTCCGTATCAATGAAATCACATTCATGTAACATAAGAATACAGTAAATAGTTTATGGTAAGAAATATGCATGGGTGATGATTGTGTTGGTGATGAAATGATAATTGGTTGATTTCTGTGAGCGAAAAAAACAAAACACATTAATAACAGTAGTTAAGAAAAATGGTGAGATTTAATGCCACCTCCTGGATGGGAAAAGAAAAATAGAGAAAAGAAATGTGAAAAAAGAATACAACAAACACGAATATCAAACTAACAAGTAAAAAGCGAATATGGAGATAATATAGGACTCCTAAGTAATGTGCATCCTAGAAACCGGATCCAGGAATAGAAATCAGGACCAGCGGTTTCGCGCGCGAATGCTGAACCTCTAAACCAACACACTAGCGTACAATGGTGTAAAGTCCTAACTAATCAATCTACGTTATTGCGCAGTTCTTTCCCGTCGAATGTGGTGGATGAATGTCTCACATCCGGTGTGATTGACCTCCACTGATCACGACTTCTAGCTATAAATCAGTCGGTTACATCTTGAATCCAGTCACTAGTGGACAATTATTATTAGTATAGAGGAATTTATGAAGATTGCAGAAAGCCGATAAAAAGATGAAACGGCCGTTCAGTCCTTCCATATATTCAAAGGTTGTCTAGCTCATTATCAGTTCATGATCTAATCTATTAGAAATCTGAAACCTCCACGAAACTTATGCCAGTAAGGGCAAAATATAATCAAAAGAACAACTGACTAGTAATACCGGATTACAACTTTTATGAGATTTGTGTATACTAGAACTGTATTACTCATGAGTAATTACTCTGTCTTACTGTAAACTTTTCCTCGGTACACCCATTCACCTATCAGACTAAATTGAACTGGTGTTTATCTGTAATATGAGTTGACTAATGTAGCCAAGTTTACCAACTCAAATATGAGCTCCTTTTGAACTAAGCTAATTACTATTCATTGCAGAACCTATATATATATTCATATTCGAAGCTTAGGTTGACGCTTTTGATGTAGTGTTCTCTGAGCAAAATAGTTTAATTTCTGAGCTATTTTTCCCATTATTGACAGCATTTCCAGGGCCTACCTTATGTAGAAGTAAGTTTTTCAGTTATTTTACAGGTTTTATATCAGCTCGTCCTGATGGCAGTTTGTGATTGGCTGTTGTCTTCATTTATCCCTATATTCACGTCGACTGTCTTCGTCAGCTAGCCTCTAACCTTGTGATTAATTGACCTATCCCAATATAAATTCATAGACTGAGTCTACGTCAATGTATCTATTGGTTGACAATTGGTCTGAAAACAATGCTTTTAGAAATTCTCTGGCATTCTTAGATTTTCCCCAATGCAGAATTTCGACGTCCCTTAAACCTAGTTAATGTCCATGGCTGTCTGCACGTATTGATATCAGGATAGCACAGCATACCTTCACATTGCTAGTCAGTGTTCATTTATGGATAGATGAACAAAGCGCCCACTTCGTCCAATTTAATATTACCCGCAGTTGGTGCAACATATTTTGTAAATGATATTTTGTTGATCATCATTTTCTTGTTGCATCTTTTAGTCTACACAGAATGGGATGAAGTGATTGAGTTGGTTTCTGAGCGTTTGATTTTAAACGGTTTTAGAATTCTTGTGACGGTTTGTTAAATATTTCTTTTACATGGGTAGAATGATCTGTTCAATAGTTTCCAGGGTTCGTTTTTCGATATGTTTGTTCGCTAAATACCTTTTAATATTGCTGGAGCAGTCGTTCCTACGGAAGACACATTGAAAATTAGCTACTCCAACTTTTCGTGTCGCGCGAATACTGTAGTGAACTTTGGTCTCTTTAAAGTGTCCGAATATAACTATTTTGTGTAGTGTTGGGTTGCTACTGTTGTAGTTTAATAACTCATTTGTGTGATTTGGTTTCCGAAGTTCTTGTGTTTGTTCTGTTAATTAAAACGTCTAAGAGTGAAACTTTTTGTGTTGCTTCTTCTCTGGTAAATTTTATGTCGTTGAAATTGGTATCAATAGATTTATGAGTAATTTCAACTTCCCCTCTCTTCAGGATAACGAATTTTTCACTGACAAAACGTGTCGAAATCTTTGGTTTAATTATTGGTAGCGTTGTAGCTACAAGTCTTTGTATAACAGTCAATCAAAATAGATCATCGAAATCAAGTGATGTAACACTTGGCGAGTAATTGAAAATGTCACGTCTATATAACGTAGGCATTGAAGATGTTACCCAAAATAACAATAAAAGCCTCACAACTAAACCATTTGACTTAGATAACAGAACACTAGCAAATATTAATATATAAATATTTCAGAGAGCCGAAATAGTCGTCTCAATTTAGTCGGCTTCAGGTGTGTTACGCGGCGAATTTTTCACTTATTGGTCCAAATCAAAAGAACTCCGGTAAAAAGGAGAGCTATAAATTAACCGGTGATATGGTTTTACTTTTTCCGGTCAATTTCAGTGATGAATAATATTTATAAGTTTAGTTAAAGTGATTCCTTGAGGCTTATTACTGTACACTTTCGTCCTAATTATGAATTAATTATTAAGCAGATTATAAGTCTTTAATATAAAAATGTAGCAGCACTTGCCTACTAAATGAACGAAAAAGTGTCTGTAAATAGTGAATAAATAAAACGTAGTGAACACTAAAAACGTTGAAGATAACCTTTATTATCAAGGCGGTGATCAAATGGTTAAAATTCAATTCCCAACTATTGAACAATAATAGTGGGGAAATCTGTACTTGATTAATGAATTATATAAATACTTAAAAAAGCCTATAGTAATTCTGGTGCTGCAGTGCGCGTCCACAAACTCCATCCGGAAAAAATCCCGGGACATTTAAGTCTTGTGGCAAGCGATTAACCTTTAGATGATATATATATATATATATATATATATATATATATATATTTGCTGAAGTAACTTTCATAGAAACTATAAGATTACGTAATGGGAATTGTTCAGATAATTGGACAGTAGTGCATATATTCGGAAAAGTCGGGGAGTAAAGAAAAGTTAATGAACAAAGAGTATGAAAAATAATAAATAAAATCTTTTATCAAGGCTAATTCGGCCAAGGAAGAGATAGAGGTGTTGCGAATTTTTTATGAATACAAAGACTTGGGTTGTTAGCTCGGATTCCTATAGCTTCTGCTATGGGTAAAATATGAGATCGAACCCCATAAAGAAAACGTGTAGGGATACGGTAAATTACTTTACATGGCCTATTTCTATCTAGTACATGACCGCTATCGATCAAGCGCTGCATATGGTTACGACGATACCCTTTCCTAAGCACGAAGAGAGATGTTCACTAACTCGCTGGCTTACCTGTCCGGTTATATAGATTTCTCTCCAAGAGCTGCTGAAATCGTAGATACACACATGTGGCAGAACCAGGTAACTTATCCTTTACTTGAGGAATCACAACAGATCGGGTTGATAACGTTCTCTCCACTGCTCTAGTCAGTCTATCAATAGCACATCAAAAGCTATATCTCCGCTGAATTGCAGTTTCAGGAAAGGAAGATTCTTACAAACTGTTGTCTCTACTTTCCTGTTTATTACATGCAAGTGTTTTTTTCAAAAGACCTTGTGGATAACCCATTTTAATCGACATATTATGATTAAGCTCTAGTTTCTTGTTTATAGTGTTGTCTAAGCATATCTTCCTAGCTCTATTTTCAAGACATTTAACTAGGTTTCTGTTATAATGAATGGGTATAAGGCCCGAAAAGTGTGTGTACTGGCTTGCTGAAGAACAATTCCCATACACGTTTCTACCGATAAATCCACTTTCTTCTCTGTCTAACAAAGTGTTGAGGAAATGTAGTTAGTAATCAAGTTCCTCTTGACACGTAAATTTGATTGCTGAATGTTCATTGTTAAGTAGCCATAAGACTTTTTTCGTTGTTCTAATCGACGATAATGAGTTTCAGCAATGTAGCAGCAATAAAAGTCAATCTTATCAATAGCCTCTTTGAGAGGTCCGCTTTCTAGATTCGCAAGAAACAAATCAGCAAGGATAGAACCTAGTGATGGATCCATCGATATTCCATCAAATTATCTATAATATGTATTTTTAAAGACAAATGAACGTCCATTGTACATTTCAGAAGTAATTATTTGAGGCTGACCTGGGAAATTCCAATACTGATCTGTTCTTCAAGTAACTGTTGACTCACTAAGTCAATAGCCTCAGTTAATCATACATTGATGATCAAGGAAGCAACATCTACGGATATAATCCATTTCCTATCAAAGTTCCGCCTTGAAAATGAATTTGAAAACGTCTTTAACACTTTAGTTGACTAGTTTGTGTAGGCGATCTAGGGTTCGGACTAACCGCTTTCAATTTTATGGTGTCCCGAATTATCCATATCAAAAACTAGACGTGAAGGAAGTCCTGACTTGTGAACTTTGGGTAAATCATAGAGTCATAGTGTGTTCTATCCACTGTGTTTAAGTAGATCGTCAATGTTTAGAGTACTTCTTTATTTTTCAATTCCTTAAACTAATTAGTCGGTTATTTTTCTGTTTTCATATTTACATCCTTGACGTCGCTGTGTTTTTGAAATGTAGTCGGATCATTCAAAACTCAGTTTATTTTTATCGATACAATCAGTTTTGTTTATTAGAACTAGCCCTCCTCCTTTGTTTGATTTGCTTAAGATCGGAGTGTTATCTGTTCTAAGTATATATAAAGCATTTCGATGCTGTTTGGTAAGTGGAGATTTCACGGTATATTTACTACTTTTGTAATGTCGACAGATGTCAACTAACGTGGTCTTAAACCTAGTAAGTTCATCAAGTGAGGTTTGGACCAAAGCTGTTGTTTATGAAAATAAATTCCCACACTGCACATTGGTATCTAGTTGATTTACTTTATTCCCATAGTCACATAATCTAGGGCATAGCGATAAAGCTTCTAATTACACTATGTATCTAACGTAACATTGGAAAAATTATGAACGTACCGCTCCGGGTCAAGAGGGAGCTTTCTTTGTGGTTTTTGATGTTCGTCAGTCAGTCAGTCAGTAACAACGTAGAACTTAGTACGTACGTACATCAGTTCGAGTTGCCATACCACATTAGCACAGAGTGATTTGATTAGTTCTGTCCCTAATTTCTCGATACTAATTTTCGCAACAACTTTAATATAATCCATAAATTATGATTTTATTACCGATGGTACGTTGTCGACAGTTCATTTCCTTTGCAAAAGATTTTCCAGACCGATTATGTGTATTTTTAATGAATATGGGTATTCTCAAGGTTTTAAAATATTAGAGATTTCGATTGTGAAAATTAGAACAACACAGATATATTGCTTTCAACTAGACTGTTAGCATGCTCCACTTTAATATTTATGCTTAAGTTTTTTTAAACTAATCAATGGAATTTGTGAGTTAGTGATCACAATACAGTAAAATACATAACTGCAATATGCTCACTGTCAACCAATTGTGGCAAAATAGAGATATGTATTGTGTCTTTCTGGTCCTTTCCAAACCAAAATGAAAGGTATTCACTTATTGATTGGTCAAGTTGTCTGGTAATACACTCAATATAACTATATCTGCAGGAGAGGCTGAATTTGTAGATGAACACTAAGATCAACTTAGGTAATTTATCCTTTTTTGGATAGATATCACCAGCTAACATGTCTAACTTTAATAAATTCGCGTTATTGCCATCGGTGAGTAACTTCCTCATACTCGATACAGTTCAAATTCCCTGATTACAACTCTTGGAATCACCCCTCTAAATTAATCACCAGTAAGCACATGATTACTATTAGTGTAGGGGGTTGGTACAAATATGCAGTTGATTTCGTAACTCTAGGATCTTTATTTACAGGCATCCTGATTAGTGATTTTCGAATAGAAAAAAATAGCAAGTAGAAAAACTCAAAAGTCAGCCAACGCATTTTTACACTCTTTGCGATGAACTGTGACTTATTAACTTAGGTGCATTTAACTATGAACTGAGTCGGAAAGTTTGAATTCTGAGTAACAAGGATGAATACGATGGTATAGGATAAAATATTTCATTTCGGGTATATCAGAAGATTTCGAAAAAGTGTATGCGTAAAAATAAAACACTAGACAGTGGTACGTTTGTTATGAATACTTGTCAAATTAATTCACATTTTGAACAAAATAAGATATTATGACATGGAGATATACATAAATTGCCAAAAAAGGAGTATGTATTCAACACTGATATGCAAATTGAAAAAAGTAGAAAGATAGGAATTCTTGGATTGAAGAAACGATACTCATAGCTAATATATATACCAGCTTAAATTACTATACCATATCCACACGACGACATGAAATTACTTAGATAAATAGTGGAGTCAAAATAATGTGGTAAAAATGACAATAAGAAAGGTTAAATGCTTAATATATGATTTTAATAGAGGAGTAAAAAAGGTGTGTATGGCGGAATATTAGAACTCGAAGTTTATAAGAAGATAAATGGTGAATGCACTTTAGCCATTATGATCAATTCTGAGCCATTTCACCCAATGTTTATACAATCTTTGGTCACTATGATCGTGCAAATATCAACCAAGTGATCTGTACTTAACAACAGGGCTTAATTCAACAGTCAATGACTTCATGGATTGATGCCACGTCTTCATTTGGCCACCATTAACTTTCTTCCAACTTTTACATCAGTTAATAACATGAGTCGAGGTATGTGATATGTATATATCACTGACTTTGGAGATAATTTACATCATGCAATGACTTTAATGGGTAACCACTGAAAACTATAGAGGATTGGACAAATGTTTTATTTTAGTTTAGAACTCTCTATTTCAACACTGTACACCTACAATCTACATACTACTTGGAAAGAAAAACTAGCCGTAAAAAAATAATTTCAAACAAGTTGAACACCTTAAAACCGTTGGATACTTAATAGTAGTTATGTTTTAACTACTAATCTATTTGGTCCCGGTCAAATGAAAACAAAATAAGCTAATTTTCCTAACACAAATATTGTTTAACCCAGTTTCACAGTCTCAGACGTTATCACTGAACTATTTGAGTAGCAACTGACTTCTAGTATGATTGAAATACTTACAACTGATATATATGGGCATCTTTCAAAAAATCCAAGTCTTACCTTGGCCCAACTTGTCGATCTTTATCGGTTAACGGAACATAAATCACACCCATTAAAGATTTTCTTTGAAAGGAACCATCTTGCAAACGATCAATTTGAACTAATGCTTGATTTCCACCTTCTGGTCCTTCAGGACAAATTAAACGACCACCAATTTTCAATTGTTCTTTTAGCTAAATTAATAAATATAAAGATGATATTAAAAGATGAGGGAAGCCCATCAGTCAGTGGGTTGAAGTCAACGTAGAGCAAGCTATAAATGTCTGCCAGGTCAGCTGGTCACTCCATATTAGCACGATCAAATGAATTTAAAAGGATGAGTAGCAATAATAGAGAGAAACATTACGGATTTGAAATACTATTCAAGAAGGGATGAAAATGTATGTGTGAAGGAATATTGGAACTTAAGATCAAGAGGAAAAATAAAGAGTGAATACCCCTGTATAACTGTGAAAGATTGTGAGAAATGCCACTCAACGTCTCCAATCACTGATTGTTGTTATCGCATAGATCTCGAGTCATACATAATAATTATTTGGTTAAATGCATATTTTATAAACACTCAAAAATTCAGCCTCTGATGAATCATAGTTTAATAGATAGAGGTGATCATTGTAAGATTGTGCTAAAGTGAAGGAAGTAGTCAATTAAGAAGATGAGTTATTCGTAAACTAATAACATTCAAGTTGATATGAATAAAAAGTGAACACACATCCAGAAACATAACTTTTTAATGTTCATGAATTTTAGGTTACAAAATATATCTCTGAACTTACTGCATTAGGAATAACTGGAGCCGCTGCACCTACGTGAATTGCATCATAAGGTGCATCTGGCACCCATCCTTCACGACCATCACCAGTAACTAGTTTAAGTTGTTTTCCTAATTCAATTCCAGATAATCGAGCATTTTGGCTATGATTAAACCAATTTTCAACATTAGACAGAGAAAATTTAGTCAATTCATCAATATGTTCTATGCCTACAGCAACACCAGTAGGGCCTACCTTAATATCAAAATTAGAGAACATAAAACAAATGAATATTTTACGATAAATTTAATTTATAGATTAAGATTTCCTGAAAAAAAATGATGGGACTATCCATAACTGCAATAATTCAACAATACTGAATTATTTAACACTCATAAAACCGTCAGTCTTTAGGTTATAATTATAATTGTTTATTATATTAACCAAACTTTGTAATATGTATAAAAACATTCATTTTATTATGTCTTACTAAGTTAGAAACAATTACCAAATAACAGAAACAGTTATCACTAGTGGCAGTGAATAATCGTTGGGTTATATTGTATATTCCGAATAATACCGCTAAACGCTGACCCAATAGTTCTGATAGTTCGACATTTGCTGTGAGACCTGATGATTCTGGGGTTCAACCCCTAGTAGGGTTGTGGATGGGCGCCGCTGAGGAGTCCCATATTAAGATAAAAACAGATACTCAGTATCCCTTGGTTTTTAATAGTAAACTAACTGAGATAGATTTGACAATATAGCTTACGAATTAAAATTTCTACACCAAACCCTTTCAACTATATAGAATATCAGTTTGAATCGTCACAATAGCCAAAGGCATATAGGAGTATATTAAAAGAAGCTGAAAGGATATAATAAGAAACAAACAAATAGAAAGTAATGAAGATGCTTTATTAGAATTAGTACTATAACCATGAACTTATATTTGTACAGTTGTTTTTTTGACTATACTCTATTGATCTATTTGAAATGATGCCTATTGATAATAATATGAAGCAACTGCTTCGTAGTTGAATTAATTAAACCAGTGGGTTGAAAGTTCAAACTCACTAGGACTATTGAAGTTTGAACAGTATATTAATGTCCCTAACCTTTCCACGAAAAATAGTACACGAGTATGTACATTTTTACTGATACATAAAAGGAAAGAAATCGATATTTAGGAGTAATTATCCATTAGTCAGTGTTATAAGTCACCAAATTAAATTTCTTTTGTTTGTAACAAAAGTTGATAGCATACTAAATTAGGCAGCTGGGATCAGTTATGACCTCCAAAATATCAATATCAGCTTTCTGAGATAGTAATTTGAAAGAACTATTCCGATGTTTATTCTAATTAGATGAAACTTTATACCAAAGCACTTAAGTTTAACTAAGGGATTTATTATGTTGTCGAACAAAAAAGTAACTACCTCGTGGTTACAATCAGTAGTTGGTATCGTAATAACTGTAGCTGCTATCTTGACGTGATTGTCAAGTCTTACTGTCTTGATGACTCAATAGAGCTATGTTGGTTGGGACACTTGCTCTTTTAGGTTCACACTTTATACCATTTAGTTGATTGTGAAGAGCCAGATAATATAACTACTCATAATAAATACAGCTTAAAGTCTAGTACACAAATATGAACTTGATAGACTAGTGAAATTATATGGAATGAGAGTAAGGGAAGCATACGTATTGTATATGCATAAACATGATATTCACTTTATAAGTGAAGGATATAACGATGACATATGGTATGACAATAATATCTCGATAAAGCGAGATAAACTTACCATAAGAGCCATACACGCCGTTAAATATCCACTACCTGATCCAACATCTAAAGCATGTGCACCAGGTTTAAGATGATCTCTTAATGCTTCCAGAGCATAAGCATGCTACACATTTTAAAAAAGAAATTAAATAGAAAGTAAAGCTTTCGAACAACAGGTTTTCAATAGTAGTTTAACAATGATCGACTCATGATCATAATCAAAACTCAGAGATGGTACATTGTCAGTTCGATGGTAAATAACTAACAACCTGAAGCAGCACTCATGAGTACACATATCATAAGGTTGTGAGAAGTATGGACTGAAAAAACAAATGGTACTACCTAATTGAACAAACGTTATTAGATGAAGCAGGACCCAACCTTCTAAACAACTAGTTGCGATGTTAGTAATAAAAATCAATAAGTGAGTGTTCTATGGTGAAATATACAAACGACATGACCGTTACGTAACAGACTATTTATTCAACGTCAACACACATTGATTGGCCAATGTACGTAACATCTGAATTAACCTAACACCATACCACTCTATGATGGTAAAAAATACTAAACGAAATAAGTAGTTATTTTTATTTGACGCCTCATTCGTAATGCTTAGAAATAAATACCATGGTGCACAGAACTGAAAATAACTCACTAATAAGGTTACTTGAGAAATTTTACTCTCAAAAACTAAAAAACCTAATGCTATTATGATGATCGATGCAGTTAAATCAGCACCAACAAACACAAACTAACGATGGTATTTATTTGACGATCGATTAATCTTAACAATGTCATTAATGTGTAAACTGTAAACCGACCGATTATACGTATATATGTAGAGATTAATTTATAATATCTCGTTAACCGAATATTTAACACAGGCTAAATCTCCTAGTAGAATTATGAATTTACTCGGAATTATTCAAAAGCACGAACACAAGTTGTAGAGATAGTATAATGTTAGTGAAACTCCACAAGTACACATATATCTAGCACACAGGGAAACGAGTGAATGTTCAAAATCCATGTATTTTTGTGAATGTTAATTGGTTGTGGATAAATTATTGATTGACTGTGTGTTACAACCAATGAGAGAATAGATCAAATTGGTGTGCAGAAACGCGCTCAATCAAACTCACACAAAATTTTACGCAGTGGATTGAATGTCTGAATCACAGTGAGCAGACAAATAATACAATAGTTGAATGGGCTTACTACATAAGCTCCCATCCAGAACACTGATGTTTTTTAAAATAAAACTTTTAGTAACATCTATATTCGACACAGAGATTAAAAAAACTATCTTTAAGATAATTGTACAACAAAATGTAGTAAGTAAGCGTTAAGTTGAAATGACAGCTTGTATGTGTTGTTACGTACCAATCTGGCCGGTGTACTGTTCTTCCTGATGTTGTAGTTTCTGTTGCTGCTGGACTTCGGTGTGAAGTATTGTCTATTTCAGTTAGTTTGTGTGTTGCTTGCTCTGCTGCGGATTTAGACAATTTTATCATTGTCTGTTTTTTGGTGTGCTCTAAAAACGCTGATTTTGCTCCATTGACTGCAAAAGTTTTTATAGCTCCATGTCGAGCTTTTGATGTTTTGCCATATCTTGATAGCTTACATCGGGGATTAAAAAGATATTAATATTTACTCTCGGTAATGTATCTGCTGCATCGTTTTCCTTACCACTTACTGGTTAGAAGACAAGTTCTTCAACCTATAAGCCTCTTTTAACTAAAAGACATTCATTTTAAAAATGAGATAGTTGTAGACATTAATTACGCGGATGGTTATTGGTCTTGCTTGTTAGTGTACTATAACTCATTTTGAGGGTTAGTTTTTCCTAAGACGAAGATTTAGTGGCTGTCTGAATTACACGAAAATCAAAGAGTGAAACAAAGATATACTAATCTGATGAAGAAATCGGATGAAATAATTTTCTGAAGATCCAATCTGAAATATTCCAACTAGCCAAAACTCACACGAAAGTCTAGTGATTTAAGTTCTGACACTTCAGTAGCATAAAAACCATTAACGCAAGAATCAGAAGTAACATGTTAAGGTGATGAATAATTTTGGCGAAAAATACAATATTATGTGTAACGCTACAACCACCAGATTTTTCATGACAAGATTTCAGACATATATTTGGGTTAACAGATATCAACGAACTGCCTTAGCACATGTAAAGTTATTTTGGCTCTGTAAACCAAATCAAAAACTAAGAGTAAACTTCTGAATTAATGAGAACCCATCAGCAATATATAGGTCTACAGGGAATAAATTTCTATCGTATTTTTCGTAGCCATCTTAATCAGATTATATTATGCGACAGAATGTATGTAAAAAATGTGCTTAAACTGATTAACGTAAACCAGTATGCCAAAACAATTCATAATTTTAAGGTTCAAACAACTTCCACGATAGCAATCTTAAGCAACCCTAGAGATGCTTCGGAAAAGTCTGTATTCAAAATTCTTGAAGGTACTCCATATTACTTAATTCTAAAACGGTTAATACCATGAGATACTTCCATGGTGTAAATGCAAGTTTAACTATGTCGATTCACCGCAAGTAAGTCGCTAATCATTGCTTGAAATTTCAACAGATTCTATTCCTAATAAATTGATGTAGAAAAAACCAAACGGTCTTAGACTGATTATCCAAGACAGTGGCGAGACTATAATTTGTGGACGAACTAATCAGACTTAAGACACCACGTCTTCCTTGTTAGCGCGAGACTCACACACTAAAATGGCTAAGTTGCATTTTGAAGTTATGGTTGATGCTAGTTCATAATGAGAACACCAACCCTAATTCCAAACCATAATTCCTCGCACTAACCTATAACTTTCTTTCAACTCTAGTAAGCAGGTGAATATTCTTACGTCCATTTTAACAGCGCTCGAAGGTCGTCCATACATTAAAGTTTCACCAAACATCCTTATCACAACCGTTCAATTCGAATGACTTAAAACAGTATGTGAGATCATTCACTACCTAGTGGTTTACGAAGAACACGGAGTTCTACAGAATTACTCAGTCGGTTTTCTGAGTTGTTAAGTTTATAATATGACAAATCCTAACGACTAAGGATTGACTAAGCCAATTCATACTGACAATTACACCAGTAATGGTCTTAGAAATAAAGACTTTCATTTACCTGAGAAACCCTATTTGAAAGTAGAGGACTACTGGTTTATCTCTTCCCAGATAGATCGATAGGGTTTAAACAAGAAAAGAATGCATCGCCGACTAACTATTAAATTCGTAATAATCCGACAGCCGCATCCTACTCAAAATCCAACTAGCTCCACTGTATAATCACAGTGTAAAATAGGTTGTTTTTGTTAGATTTTGAGATTATAATCGTGATGTATAACTTGAACCATCATCCTTACCATATGAGGAGCACTGATAGTCGCGGCATAGCCGATAGAGGATGGTCGGTCTTCGTAAGAATTCGATCTGGCAAAGTACCCACGATCCACGGAAAGCATAGTATTCTTGACAATCTCAGATGAAATTACTCGATTTCCTGTTTGAAAGGTTAAGGGGAAAGTCTAATTACTGAATAAATTGTTTATAAGTTCTGTATGTGTGCTACCGCTCGACTTCCAAGCCATGGATGAGTTGGTAATAAGTAGAAGAGTTAAAACGATTAGATTGTATCTAAAAACGTTGACTGTATTCATATCTTATTAGATTAATGTATAGTAACCACAATTAAGCAACCATCAGCAGGAATTTGATATTTCCACTGACCTTCATAATTAGTCATAATCAGCATCGAGAAACAATGTCATTCCTATAACATTAATTTCGAGACAACTAAAGTAAATACGTAAATTTGCGTAAAATATCTCGTTCATTTTTATTCATCTATTTCTAACTATAGAGATAACAATTTTGGAAAGTGATGTCATTGAGTCAAATATCCACTATCTTGGCAACGGGTTTTATAATATTTGATCTCGTTTTACAATGTTAACATATGATTCAAGGTATTTGGTATCATTCAGTATGGGTCGTTTTACTGTTCAGCTACACTATTCTTAGTATATTTGAGACTTGATTCCAGGTTAATGTTTCTTGGGTATAAACGAGTCCGCTTGTTCTAGGGCAGTCGGTATGCTGGGATCGGCAGTTATTATATTACTGAGAGGGATATGGGCTTGTTGCGATCTGGATGATTATGAAGCTGGAATGTGGGGGAGCGGAGATAAGATGACAGTTAAGATTATTGGACGAATACTGTATTCCACAAATGTGAACAAACAAGTTTTATAGTAACGGAGGCGACAGTAGGTGGTAGTAATGCGAAGAATGACACACGCTATACGTAGTTCCTGTACGGGAAAGGCTACAAGCCATAGGTGGGCACAGGGTTGTTGAGCCTCTCCATAAAGCTGTCAGCTGAAAGGGATGTCGCCAAGTTGGCTTGGAGAGCATTTCAGACAGGGATGACTCATAATGAATCAAAGTGTGGTCGTGCTTGGGTATTGGGTCATTGGTATAAAATTTGCATTCGGTTGACTCAAGAAGTGCAACGGTAATCTTTACTTGGGTGACTGAATGCCCAGTTTGTTGCATACTACACGTTGCGGCGAGACTACAATTTAAGGACGAACCAATCAGATTTGAAATCTCGGATTTTAGCGCGAAATTCATCCACACATTTGGCTAAATACCATTTCGGCATTATAGCTGATGTTAGTTCAGAATGAAAATCTTAAATCTAGTTCCTAAGCCTAACCATCAATTGCATATTATAATTCTAATTCCTCACACTGCTTTATAACCCTTGCTTAGTCCTAGTTGGTAGGTGAGCACGCTCAAGGTCACTTTGGCTTCGCTCAAGGGTCATCCTATTATTTGAAACAAGACAAGTACCAGACAAGTTGTAACTTTTTGAACCATTTTCCTGATTAGTATGATTTAGATTTTCATTGTAAAGTTGGTCAGTGACCTAATTATTGCATCTCTATGCTATCCTCACTGTTCTCACTGGAGAACTTGTTAGCTGACGTTGCGCTTACCTCTATTTCCTAATTTCTACCAATTGATAACGTAATACTTGCTTCACTGTATGCTTCTTGTCGCATTGTTGTGTTTAAAGCACGGTTTTTTATTTGGTATGCTATATGGCCTGATACCACGTGTATATAAATTAATAGGTGTTTGATATGGTTGTTGGCTGTGTTTGTTAGTTAGGCTGGGTGAGTGAAATGGACATATAGCAGCTGTTTGATGACTTCTCTTTGAACTTAAGGAAGGGAAGAGAGAAAATTAGGCAGATAGTGGATCAATAGAAGTGTAGCCCGTGTTGGCCCATGGTTAACTGTACAATGCGAAACGTGTACTTAGTTAAACCCATGTCGTTAGACCATATACACGACAGTAGAAGTGATTTAGATAAAATTAATCACAAGAACAAGAATCTCTAAAGAGACTCAGAACTAGATAAGATATTGTAATAGTCCAAGCGAACAAAGGATGCACTACACTGTTCACGGACAAGGAACGGTATATCAAGAGAGCTGAGGAACTACTTTAACCAAGCTCGTCACAGCAGGATACATATCAGAGCAAGATCAATGGGGAATGGAATTCATTGGACAGGCGCTTCCACGATTCTATGGTAAGCCGAAAATACAAAAACCAAGCATTCCACTACGTTCAGTTGTAGCACTCTCCGGAACCACAACATACAATCTGTCAAGAAAATTTTCACGGATATTGAAATATTTTTACAGATTAATCCAATCACTCCATCAAATCTTTTATACAATTCCTGAATCAGATAAAGGATACTCAAATCAACAACGATGAGCTGATGATATTATTCGAGGTAATAGCCTTGTTCACCTCGATGGAACCACGCTTAGCAAAAGAAACTCTGCCCTGGCTTCTCAACAACGACACAAATCTCGCAAAGTACACGAAACTTCAAAGACAACATTTACCAGAACTCGTCGATTTATGCCTAACAAAATATTTTAAATTCAACAACAAAATCTGAGAACAAATGAAGGGAACGCTGATGGTATCAACAATACCAGTACTTATCTCAAAAAACAGTTATGCAGGAACTGGAAGCCTCGATTCTATCAGCGATCAAGACAAAAATTAAGACTCGTTATGTGAATAACACATTCATCATCGTCAAAAAGGACTAGCTGAAAGACACCTATAATCTGATCTGAAACGTCTTCGATAGCATAAAGTTCGTAATGAAACAGGAATCAGACAACAAACTATCAGTCTTGGATGTATTAATCACCAGAGCTGACGTAAGAAAACTGGAGACTCAGGTATATCTGAAGAGGACCAACGCAAATGAAATTCTCAATTACAGTATCAACAACTTAAAAGCTCAAAAAATCAACTGATTACAGCCCCTATTCAAGAGGGCGAGAACACACTGAAACACTTGATGATCATCTTTTAAAAGAATGGCTACCCAATCAACTTCATAAAATAATACCAGCTAAATGCATCATCGGAAAAAAAGTCAAGTACAGAAGCCAACAAATGGATCATCCTACCATATATAAAAAACATATCAGAAACTACAAAAAGATTGCTGAAACCTTTCTGGATATGTGTAGCACACAAACTAACAAAATCACTGCAAACCAAAGGATGAAATAACAAAAGAAAAGCTGAACATCGTCTTCAAAACAAATTGTTCCAACTCCGAAAAACACTACATCAAACATAGTGGATGCCCTCATAATCTTTGCATGCAGGAACATTAACTAGTGGTCAAACGCCACGACATATCCTTACTTATATCAATGGATGTGGACAACTATGGACACACATTCGACTGAAAAAATTGTTGAGATCTTGGATAGATGCTGTTTTAAGAAACACAAGAGAATCTTTAGAAGCTTGACACTCAATCCAATTAGCACTCAACAAAAATATTGAAATCGATCCAATTAATCATCCAATCAGAACAATTATGAACAAACATAGGACCGAAAATCAGACCAATGGTAGATGCAACCAAAATAAAGAAGTAACTAGTGATAGGTTTAATGTCAACAATAACCAATAAACGTCGTAGTCATCAGAACAAGATGTTAAGCATATGTGGAGTAATTCGAACACTTCACTTCTACCTGAAGTTTTTGCTGATGATTTCGTTCAGAATAACGATGAATGCTCCGCGGCCAAACCATCCAGCACAGAGACCAAACCTTTATCAATAAAGGAGTAGAGTGGGCTTTGGCTTCGTCTCCTTGGTAGCTGTCTCTGATGCCTGTCTGTCTGCTAACAACAGATCTAGATCGCTCTCTTAAGATGGGGGCCGAAATCTGTTATTGATACCAACATGCTGCATATTAATCCCCGTCCGAACACTTGAACGAGAACTCAGGAGTAGACGATAAATTGTATTGGACTAATATATGAATAATATGAACAAATACTCATTTATGTGCCTACATCTCTACCCCTAAGAAAATAAACCCATTTCTTAGCCAATGATATGCACTGTCCTTTGGGTCACACTTCATTGCTGTCAGTCGATCTACGCACCTGACTACTTCTGACTGACCCACCATATCACGCCTTTTGAGATTCTGGAGTAGAGGTAACTACAGATATAGTCAATTTTGGTTTCCTCCAATGTTTGAAATCAAACCATCTGACATTTCTAGGGATTGAGCGTCACGCTACTCTTGTGTTTGCTCTCTCAGCCATGTTGGACCTCCTTAAAACGTACGTTGATAAGCCGCACATTTGACAGCTGTACATAGTTTGATACCGTCTGCGCACATGGGAACTAAGACAAGTTGGTGAATGTTTGGGACAACAAAGAGCCTAATATAGAACCTTTTGGAACCGTAGACATAAACACTGGAACTTGAATTCACTATCTCAACTTTCTTGCAAACGTTTTGTGCATATGAGTGATTCCTTAATCAAAAGAATAGTAGGTCTGTGATTTATATATCTTAGTTTTAACCGAGAGAGGATAGAGTAGCACAGTATTAAACGCTTGAACAATGTTCCGGAATATTGCATGTATTGGGGCTTCCTGATACCGGTGGTCCATCCAGCTGTCCCATGACAATAAGGTGTTCAGGGTGCACAATGTGCTATTCCTCAATTCGTGTTGTATGTCTTAAAATAGTTTATGAACGTTCGTGGACTCCATCATGTGGTCGCCCATTAAATTTTTCAACAGTTTCGAGAGTTCTGGAAGTGGCTCTGAAGAGGTTTAAGAACCCGGATATTTTCAGTTTTTATCCTTTGAGATAAGAGACTGGATTTTTTATATCCACTCACTAGCTAACGGCTTACAGTCTGAGGACTGTTTCAAAAGGTCAAACACCAGATGGCGAAGAACTTCGTTACATCGTTTTGGTGCGATGATTAGCAAGCTACTGTAGCTTGGGTGACTTGCTGGTCAAGCATATTAGCCCTAATTCTGCCTTCATACTGCTCCTGACTATTTTCCTCAAGAGATTTATCGGACCTCTACGGCGGTGCAAAATGACTGTTTTGTTCAGCAACGTCCGAAATGAGGATTTCGACAGCTTTAAATTAATAGACAGTTTCACTCCGATTTCTCTCAGTGACAAAAATTCTCAAACCTATATTTCTCGTTAGAAACAAGCTTGTTTGAAAGATTTCTTGTCAATCCTCGATCATATGACTGACCTCTTTCTTAATTAGTTTA